GAACCGGCCCAGCAAACCTGCTGGCCGGTCCATCGGGTGTATAAGAGGCGGACACAGTCCGCCTCTTCGTTCTCTGTGGCTGCATGAATGAATGGGTCCCACCCATTATTTGATTTTCAAATTAAGAGAGAGAGGTGGCTAAAACTTTGGGAGGGAAATTAGATTAGGAAAGCTTTTGTATTAAAGTGCATGAGGGGATTAGGGAGAGGTATGTTTTGATTGATTGGAATTAGGGTTTCTTGGAGGCTTGAGCTCTAGACAATCTTGTCTAGAGATTTGGGAGAGACGATCCTCCTCTCTAATTGAGGATCTCATGTATCTTGCTATTTTATTCATCGTCTAGTGGAATCCAAGTGTGTTTTGAGTTTTTCCTACAGTTTTCCTCTAAATTCTCCACTGTTTTGACTGTTTTACTGTTGTGGACAGCAGTTTCTTGTTGTGGTACTTTATTTTGGGTTAGGAGTGCTTGTGAATACAAGTATTTCCTATCAGAACTCTAGCAAGTAAATCTGAAATAATAATAGTACCTGTCACCACTTCTGAAGATTCCTTGGCTTCTTGAGATGTTAAAGCAAAAAACTCGAGTCGGTGCTGATCTCATAGTTTCCCTAGATGCTTCTCCTTTTATCTTAAAAACTAGTTGGCTCAGTTGTGGCTTAACACCTCTGTACTGTTCTGTCCTCTAAATACATTTTGATTCTCTGACTTCTTGGATATTTTTCAGACAATTTTTCTTGATATGTCCTAGCCCCCCACACAAATAACACTTTCCTGAATTCAATAGACATTTTAATGGATGAGATTTTTCACAATTTGCACGGGTTGGTATCAAATGGAACCCTGTAGGCTACTGTTGTTGTTCTTGATAAAATTTATACCTTTTTGACTGATCACCTCTGTGATCAAATGACTTATTTTTGCTATCAGTCTCCCATTTATGTTTTACCATATCTATATCGTGTTCTAAAAGTCTAGCACTTTCAACTAGTTCAGCAAAATCCTTTATGTGTCGACGAATTAGATGTCGTCTTAATGAATCTATGAGGCCTTTCAAAAATCTGTAACATTTCTCAGTAGGAGTATTGATAAGCTATGGAGCATATCTTGATAAGGATGTAAACTCCGATTAATGTTGAATAATAGTCTTAGCTTCCTATTTTAAATTAATAAAACTCTCATGCATTGCCTGCCTTGCTAAAGGAGGAATGTACCACTCAGCTCTACCTTCAAATTTTTTCAAATTTTCTCTCCACCATCGCTCAGCCTCACCTTACAACACAAAAAAAAAGTTAGAGATACATGTCTGTCACCAGGTCATTTTACCCAATTCAATATTTTCTCAATCTTTATTATCCATTCCTCAGTAGTTCTGACGTCTACTTATTTAAATAAAGGTGGCTTTAAACTCTGAAAGAGCTTTAAATGCTTGTCTCTTTCACACTAACATGTTCACCTTCATCTGTATCTACACTACTACTAGGAGCTGTATGGGTGACTGGTATAATTGCTGATGGAATACTAAGTGTTGCAGGTCCTATAAGTGACTGTATCTTTTCTATCATTTGCATCATCATATTCATCATTTACATTTGCATCATAGTCCCTGACATCACTCTGGCAAGGCCAGTCACCACTGGTACATTATCCACTCTGAGTGTACTGCCTTCAACTGGCGTAATATTTTTAGGATCCTCACGCTTTTGTCATGTTGAGATGACTGGCCATTAATCCCCTCATATATCCTTTTATTCATTATATCTGCAATGCATTACATCATGAAGTATGCATTTATATAATCATGCACACATATTAACATGATACATTTATATACTAATTGCAAGCATGACTGAGAGTTAGACTCATTACTAACTTATAAACACAACTCCCACCTAAGCTCTATAATAATTAAATCAGATTTTTTTTTTTTTTTTTCGTAAAACTACTAATCCATTTAAGCATATATAATTAAATCGTAATTAAATCCTCATAATTTTAAATCTTTCACTGATACCACTTTTGCCACACCCCACGATATCCTCCACCTACATTGTAGGGTGCAATAGAGAAAACATAACATTTAAAACTCTTAATAATTTTCATAAATATGTTCAATTAATATAACTACATTTTCTATATAAACAGAAACATCTAAATATTCTCACTTGTATTATAAATATACTTACAGAGCCACTAAAAACCACAAAACATTACAAAGATAAACAATCTACATACCTCGATGTAAACTCACGTAAATAACTAACCATTAAAACATAAAGTTTTATTGACCTGATCGTAATCTGCTTCCATTTTCTTCTTGCCCTTTCTTATAACTATAGCTAATATAAAATTTGGTGTTCTATGAAGCTCAGAGAGTTATGTAATTCTAATAAAGAAGTTGAAACAATCTAGCATAATTTAAATGAATTCATAATTGAAATAAATTCAAAGTAATTACAAAACATATTCAAACTCATATTAATTATTTTAATTATTATCTATACTACTTTTCATCTTTCATTTTATTTGAAGTCTATGCATAAATATTATAATTAGCTATTTGAGGTTCTGACCATCATTTAATATATAATTAACTTTTATAGCTTTGATAATAATATTCAATTGAGCCTTGGTAAATTTGACATTATCGTCATTGAACTACATTAATGTCCCTTTTGTCCGACCTGCGCAATTATTGTATTATTTAATTGTCAACCCTCACTGATATGATATTCATTCGACTTCAAATTTATGAGCTCATACTTGAATTGTCATGCTTCATGCTTAATATAAAAGATATATCTACCATACTGCTTGCATCAAAATAATAATTATGCAATGCATAACTTTGTGTTTTTCTTCTCAACATATTGACAGTTAGGAAAACGTTTATATAATCATCATATATCTCATTTTAAACTTAAACTATTCAAATTTACACGTAGTCACTCATACTTGAATACTTGGTTCAAGACCCTCTCAAGAAATTGAATAACTTTAATGTCTTCTTCCCTTCAATTACGTCAAATATAAATGAACATGTCTAGAAATGATAGTATTTGCTTTTTAGATTAAAATTGCATTTCTTACCTCTGTGATGAGTTGTCTTATCGAATTCGACACCTTGTATGCTTTTTCATTTGTAAATTACCTACAATTCACATCTTAATTTTTTTAGTTCTTCCAATCATTTTCCAACTAATTGTAGAAAATCAATTTATCCCAACAAAATAGTTTACCTCGTAATGTTCTCTCTACATATACTAGTTGAATTCTAAAACATAATTGGGTGTAATCTTCTTTAGAAACTTTCAAAAAATTGAAAACCTATACTACAATCAAAATTCTTACATTTTCCTTTTTTTCCTTCTTCCTTCAATTTCTTTTTCTCCTTTTCCTCTTCTTCCACCGAGAAATACAACTCTCTCACGGCAATTCCCACTCCAAAGCCTTAACCGAACTACACTCTACTTTCACTCCCTCTCTATTTCGCACCCCACTCGACTCTTGCGTACGTGAAAAGAAATAGAAAAGGGGAGGCAAAACACGAATAACTGTATAGTGCTCACGCCAAAACCCTCACAGCCATGTGATGGCACAGTCGGCGGCTGCTCCTTTCATCAGTCGTTGCAAGCACCTCTTCAGGAAAAAGGGTAATGCTTAGTTTAATTTAATATATTAGTTAGTGTTAGTGCTACTGATTTATTAAAAATAATTTTATGTTAATAGTAATTTAAAAGTAATTATAATTTAAACTATAAAAGAAATATAATCTTGTTCAAAATTTTCACAGAAATTAATATTTTGAGGCATACTTTAACCAAGTAAAATTTTATAATTTTACTTGAAACTTTTGGGTGTTACAAAATAGACGAGCCTTATCGAGCTATTAATGAGCTAAACTTTCTAAATGTTATTAGCTTAATAAACGAGTCTTATCGAGCATACCAATAAACAATTACTTATATCCTGTTTGCGAATATATCTACAAGTGTTTTTAAGCTACTAAAAGTGTTCATTTACGAATATATCTAGTGAGTGTTTTAAAGCTATCAAACGAGTCCGTTCAAGAACAAACGAGTTCAAAAAATAATTTTTCTTATAAACAAGCTTGTTTATGAATACTTTAAACAAACAATGTAACAAACATAAAGAAATACTGAAATATCTTTCATTCATGAATAAATTTATTCTACTGAAAAAATATAACATAAAAAAATGAAATTAATTTTCGATGAAATAATAATCATTTATTATAATTACACTAAAAATTATGTGAAAATATATCAAATAAATATTCATTACAAGAGTTGATCAATTCTTATTGAACTTATTCACAAGCTCTATATTAATTATTAATCGAGCTTCTTAATGAGCTTTATATTGAGCTTATTCATGAGTTTTAATTGATATTGTTCATGCACATAAATAAGCCAAACACAGTTGTTCAAGCTTGTTTATCTAATAATCAAGTATTTTTAAAAATTATTCATATTTATTTGATTACTTAAACAAACGATCATGTACGAGTTCTAATCAAGTGGAGCCATGAGTAACTTGTCAAACACTCGGTTCATTTGCAGCCCTAATGATGACGACGATGATTTGTTCATTGAATACTTTATTCCCTTGATTTGCACTTTGAAAAGATGTGTCCTTGTACTGCACCTCTATGATTTCATGCTGTAGTTGATCTAGCACAGTTTATTTTTGCTAATCATCATGGTTTGCATGGAAACAACGTATGATAAACTGGATGAAAATTCATGGGTAATGTGTCTATAATGCAATATGTTATGATGCATAAGGTTATGTTAGCAAGGAATATTAATTTAAGTTAAAATTTTGTTTCGGAAGATCCAAAGCTTTTAATTTATCTCCTTCTGCCAATGTTCAGTACTATTGAATAATATGGTGCACACATTTTGAATTTGCATGAATTTGTTGTAGTTAATTTTTTTCCTTTTCATTTGAAATCTAATCTGTGCCAATATGTTGGCCAGCTCCCTGGGCGTACAGATAATGAAATAAAAAATTATTGGAACACGCGTGTCAAGAGACGGTCAAGAGCTGGTTTGCCACTTTATCCAACTAAAGTAAACTTGCAAACTTCAGATGAAAATCAACTGATCCAGAGTGCTACTGAGCTCAGCAGTGGTAACCAACAGAACATTGGAATTTTACCAGGAACCATTAATGGAACGCTGGAACTTAGATTTCTTCCTCACAAAGCTAATCCAGGGCCACCACCTTATCCACCTCATTTTTCAGACATCCCTGTAACTGCAATGCCAAGTCATGGTCTTGGTTATTACACTCGCAGTTTTTTAAATCCCCAAGGGGATCATGCCAAGCAGACTTGGGAATCTGAAACCTCCTTTCCAGGTTGCCATTTTGGCCTTAACAGCATGGTTCCTGCATTTGAGGATCTCTCAAGTTTGAATTCTGAACCAGTTTATTTGAACTCTGGGATAGGTTATCCCCATGATCCTGATCCTGAGAGCAAGAAGAACCTGGCATCCTTTATTTGCCCCATACCCGGCAACCATGCCTTATCAAATGGCAACTTCTCCTCTTCCAGGCTCCTTCCAGGGGCTGTGAAGATGGAGCTCCCTTCACTCCAATCTACAGAAGCTGATTATAATGACTGGAACACGTCTGCTTCTTTGTTTACATCCTCATATGATGCAGTTGATAGTTATATCCAGTCTCCTGAAAATGTTTCAGTGCAGTCCGACTGCGCTTCACCAAAAAACAAAGGTTTATTAGAAGATTTGGTTCAGGAATCAAAAGCAATAAGCATTGGGAAGAAACAATCATTAGAGAAAAGCTTCGATGATACCATGACGGGAAGCAGCACTGTAAAATTGGAAGAGATTAGGGACCCAACTTCCCCCTTTTGTCAATCAGCTGTTTCTCTATTCAACGAGTGTAACCCAATCAATAGAAGCACTTATAATGAATCTTCAACGTTTAAAGCACCTATGGGTGAGTATTTTTTGCACTTAACTTTCTCTTCTGGTACTCAGCGAGATGTAAATGTGGGTTCTGCAGGTTCTGCCAAACAAGATAAATGTGCTCCGAATTTGCCAGATTTCTTGAGACCTGATGTTCTACTCGGATCAGGTTGGTTTATTGGAAATTCTCGAAGTGCCATTGATTCTATTTCTGGACCTTTAGATGAGAACTTGCGTGAAGACCTTGTGCCTGGGCCTGCTGGAATATCATCCATGGCTTCACTGGAGTCCTATCCATGGACTAACATGCCACGAGTCTGCCAAATGTCTGAACTTCAATGAGTTCAATTAGCTGAAGAATGACAATCATTGTGAGCTATTGGTAATTAAGATTTGTTCTCATCTTTGACAATGGATCATTGAATTTCATGTTGCTCTTTTTTTTCAGCTTCAAGCATCGTAGGCTGTCATTTCTGTTGCATAGTAATGCTGGATGAATGGGAACAAACTTGTTATAAAATTTGTTTATATTTCACCATTCCCCTAGTTTTGTTTTGTTTTTTGTTTTGGAATAAACACTCACATCATTTAGGTTTCGTTTAGGACGGTTTCTTTCTGCTTCTTAAAGCAACTTTATGGTACAATTTTTTTAATTTTGTACTAAAAAACTACTTTAAGAAGCCAGAAAAAAATCGTCCCAAATAAAGCCTTAGTCTATTTTATTTGTATGTCTAACATTCTGCCTGCATAGCACTCAAAACTCATTCATTTACATATTTAACATCAAAGTTTCACTATTTGATCACATAATGTCAAAAACTTCAAATAATACCGCCACGCCCTCTGTTATCATTACCTCAGGGCTACCAGTTCTATTGCCCTGTGCTATAGCACATGCTGCCTATCCTGGCTGAAAACCTGCAAACCTTAGCTAAGCAGAAAAACAGAGAGCGAAGAGGAAAAAGTAGGGACGCTTTTTTTACTGTATCTCAACTTGCTGTGGTTTTGGTTTTTTAAAATAAGCTATGATGAGATTGCAGTTAGTTATATATCAACGGTTTGGATTAAAATTGCAATAGTGTATTCCTGCAGAAATCATATTAGTGGCTAAAGGTCTGATGAAGGTGGCTGTAGCAGTATAGGTGCAGTAGCTTATCACTTCTTCTCATCATCCCCCCTCAAGATAATACTCATGTCAAGGAGTGTTAGCTTGTGTTGAAGATTTTGAAATCTGTTTGATTGGCAAAGGTTTTGTAAAGATACCAGCTATTTGATCTGTTGTATTGATATGATGAATGGAGATGCTTTGATTCTTGACACAATCCCTTACAAAATGATAGTCAATATCAATGTATTTTTTTGGGGCATCAAATATTGGATTGTTGGATAATGCAATGTTGGAAATGTTCTCACAGAATAAATTAGTAGATAATTGTGTGGGGATGTGAAATTCAAGTAAAGAAGTCGCAGCCAAATTAAATCAGCAGTAGCTATGGCTAGAAAACGATATTCAGCCTCAGCAAACGAGCGAGCTATAGTCTTTTGCTTCTTAACCCGCCAAGAAATTAAATTGTGTCAAGGTAAGCACAGCAACTGATGGTCGACTAGCGGTCTATAGGATCACCAACCCAATCCAAATTTGAAAATGCAGAGTTGCAAGGGAGTTGGTTGTATCAATATTCTAAATGATAGTCCCTTGGAGATATCGAAGAAGTCGTTTGAGCAGGGAAAAATGGACATTTAATGGCTTGTGCAAGAACTGACACAATTTGTTAATGGTGTAAGTGAGATCAGGTCTTGTGACTGTTAAATACTGAAGAGAACCAATGATGTGTTTGTAAAGCTCTGGATTTTGGAATGGTTGCTCACTGCACGTTGAAGGAAGGCTCTTAAGAGCCATAGGCGTAGCTAGTGTCTTACACGATTGCATACCTGCTCGAGTGAGAAGTGCCGACACATAGGTTGCTTGAGTTAAAAATAATCCATTTGATGTTGGCGAGATTGTAATGCCGAGAAGGTGATGAATATTTCCTAAATTCTTCAATTGAAATTCTTGTGAAGATGAGTTAGCAGTTGATGAATGAGCAGCTGGTCATTGCTCGTTAATAAAATATCATCAACATCAATCAAAATGTATAGAAGCTTAGTTCCATTTTGATATAACAACAAAGATAGATCGACTGTTCTAGGGTGAAAACTGAATCTAACCAAATCAGCTGAAAATTTTGCAAACCATTTTCGTGGGGATTGTTTTAAGCCATATATAGACTTTTTGAGAAGGCAAATATAATCTGGATACATTGGGTCAATAAAGCCAGTGGTCTGAGTCATATAGACTATATCATGAAGATCCCCATATAAGAAGGCATTAGATACATCTAATTGTAAGATTTTCCATTTGTGAGTGACTGCCACAGTTAAGAGAATGCGTATAGTGGGAAACTTGGCTATGTGACTAAATGTTTCTAAATTGTCCAATCCATATTCTTGTTTAAATCCTTGAGCAACCAACCTGGCTTTGTGTCTATCAATTGAGCCATTTGCATTGTATTTAGTTTTGTATATCCATTTGCATCCAAGTACATTTTGGGTAGGTGAGGGTGGCACTAATATCCAAGTACCTTGAGCTTGGAGAGCATCAAATTCAGTTGACATTTCTTTACGCCAAATAAGATGTTTGAAAGCTTGATAGTAGTAAGTTGGATCAGTAGAATAGATGGTATAAGACATGCTAACAATAGTTTTGGGTTTGAGATGATCAGTTTTAAAACATGTAAGCATATGATGGGTTGGATGCGGTGGTGAAGGGGGGTTTTATGGTGTTGTTGAAGAGGAAGATGTAGTTTGTAATGATGGTTGTGGAGAGGTTGTAGAAGGTGAGTAGTGAAGTTGCTGGGAGGAGTGAGATCGGTTGAGGTAGGTGGAGTAGGCAGTGAGGTAGAAGTTAGTGGGACTAAGGTTAAGGGTGGGTGATATGAATGAGGTTTTGAAGGAGATGATGAATGTGTTGAAGATTGGAAGGGGAAGATATGTTCAAAAAATTGGAAATGTCTTGAAATTATGATTTTATTTGTGAGAAGATTGTAACATTTATAACCTTAGTCAAACGGGCGAAGGAGTAAAGTTTAAAGTGAGAGAGTGAGAGAGAGAATGAATAGGAGAGGGGAAGTTGGACTAACATGAAGGGAAGAGAGAAAGAGAGAGTTTAAGGTTGGCATAATAAGGCGAGGTGTGAGTCAAACGGGCAAAGGAGTAAAGTTTAAAGTGATTAAAGGGTCAAGCTTGGGTAGGCTAGCCAAACATACGAAAGAGCTAGAGTAAAGGGTGTTGAGGAAGGCTTAGATATCAAATCGAAACTGAGAGGTACTTATTTCTCCTTTCCTTCAATATATAATGTGTTAACCCTAAATCCTAATTTTACACAAATGATTTTTATGAAATTAAGAAGTCTAATTTAGGGGTTTTGATTTGATAGTAAAATACGAAAGAAAGAAATTAAATTTGTAATTTATATAAATATTTAAGGAATTGGGAAAAATTCATCATATGTATCAATAGAAGATTTTATGAGGAAACATAATAAATAATGAAATTTCTAACTGAATTTTTTGATATAAGAGCATGACAAGATTTTATTTAATTATAGAAATGTCATTTTCACATAAAAAAGTGTTACTAAGCAACTTTTTAGTATAAAAAATTAATATTTTTATTAAAAATTTACTTTAATAAGCATTAAAAAAATCATCCCAATGAAATCTAAGTTAATGAAATGATGTTTTAAATTTGTATGTTAATTTTTATTAAAAATTTACTTTAAAAAGCATTAAAAAAATCATCCCAAATGAAATCTAAGTTAATGAAATGATGTTTTAAATTTGTATGTTAATTTTTTTTTAGATTAGTTATGATTAATATCCTTAATGATATCGAGACATTACACATGTTGAACCAAATATCATTAGATTTTAAAAAGATTATATAATTAGAGAAAAAACAAGTGGAAGTTATCATTATTTTTTGTTTTCTGACAAGGAATAATGGAAATTAGAAATCTGACAAATTGTTTAAGTTAATTAAATTTTGTAATTCAAATTATCTGTGTTGAGAAATTAATTAACTGAGAAATAATAATATTATGATTTAATAATTTGAAGAGGATATTGGTAACTTGATTATAATGATATATGTTCCTGCAAATTAGATTAGTATTATGCAATAAGCATAAGTGTAAATGTGTAATTAATTAGAGAGGTGTGTATAATGTAAATTTAAACTGTTAAGTTAGAGATTTTAAATAATTATAGTTTTAATAGTAAAAAAACTAGCGACTCAGCTTCATAAAAAATTTTTGGTGGAAATTTTTGCCGGTTTCGACAGTCATTCCGCCGGCACTGTTCGCCAAAAAATTCGCCAGAAACAACAATTTTTTTTGTAATGTAATTCAAAATATATAATGAAGAACCATATTATAATTCATTATATCTGTAACTCTTTATGTTATGGATATTGCGTTATATCTGTATGAAGAAACAAATGAGCAAATCCACCAACAAAAACAATCAAGATAGCATTCAGATGTATTCAATTAGTTGCTCAAATTGATTAATTAAAATATAAAGAAACCTTAATTGAATGAATATCAGCCATTCATCAATTGCAATCCAATAATCACAGCTAACAAAACATTGAATGGAAAAAGGTTTCCACTCTTTTGCTCAGCCAACAAGCTTAGGAAAACTAATAAACTTGAGATAAATAAATGAAAGACACTTCAAGCTACAAAATCCAAAAAGTTGCATCTCATAGGGGTGTCAATTTCAGGTCACGGGTCGGATTCGAGTCGAACCCGAAACTGACCCTACACTATTCAAGTCAACCCAAACCCGACCTGTTTTGACAAACGATCGGTTTTTCGAACCTAAACCCGACCACCGCTTTGTATCCGGATCAACCCGACATGACCCGAATGACTTCTCATTACCTCAACCAACAAGTAGAGATGATCACCTAAATCAAAATAAACATTCTATGAACCTTTTACATAAATTACACAATGCAAGATAACAGAAAAGAATGAGAGAAATCCCACATTCTCTCTCTCTCTCTCTCTCTCCAACTTTCATGAGCAAATTGCAGGTGATGTAGGTGGAAGACAATGGAAATTCTGACAATAAGCTTTATAATTTCATTGTGGTCCTTCTAACGACACCTGCTAACAGGCCATAATTTGATTTATCAATCAAAATCCATAAAAGGAAATAGGGAAACATGTCAATTGTGTCACTGACTTGCTTTTTTTATTGAAATCTCTGATATTAGGTAATGTCCAGAATTTTCAGTCCAGCAGTACAGGAGGACAATACAGATGATATGATTCTTCTTTGCAAATCTTTGTATTCCAAAGCTAACTTTACATCCCAGCTCAACTCTTCTCTGTAAAATTGTAAGGAAGTTCAGAAAACTGATAGAAAAAAGTCAGTAAAGGGTCTAGAATTTTTACCTGTTGATATTGTCTCTCTCTCCAAGCCCTTCCATCATGGGTTCAAAAATGGAGATCATTGTTTCCAGCAATGCTCTCTCATTTTCCTGAGGAAGCAAAAAATGATAATATAGATTAAGAGTTAATAGCCAGATTAGGGGCAGTTTTGAGAGTTTTTGGGTTTTCTGACTTGGCAGAACAGCACAAAATTTTGAAAATGAATATATAAAAAATAAAATAAGAACAAAGCAAAATTGGAAATCATGATTAAGCTTGAAAGTCATAGGAGAACAAAATCAGCCCCAAAGAACTAAGATACAGCAGTTAATTATGATGATGATGAGTTACCGGAATCCATTTACAAGCTTTTTGAATAAATACCGTGGAAATGGATTTCCCGAGTTATAGAGGATAATCAGGCAAATATTAGTTTGTCCAATATTTAGTTTAAGAGATCGAAAATACACATAGGCTTCGTTTGGGACGGCTTTCTTCCGGCTTAAAACGGCTTTTTAGTTAAAAAAATTTTAATTTTTATACTAAAAAACTTCTTTAAGAACAAGCAAAAAAATCGTCCCAAATGAAGCCATAATCAACCTTACATCTTCTCCTGGAACCAAAGAAGGCTGTTCCATGCCACCACTTTTCAGAACTGAACGGAGATGGGACAAAAGCTGTGTCGGCAATCCATAGGTCTGGGGTTTACTACTCTTTGAAAACCAAGAACCTCGCACCATGTGACTTGTCCTGAAACCTTCAATGGCCTGAGATTGGCTGTAATCAGCTTCAGGAACCTCGATATCTGCAATGAAAATCAGACATATCTCATCAAATAAATGATCACCTCACACTTATACAATATTATACAGTCTGCATGAATATACATGTTTTTGATCTATACTCATAACAAGAACCAGAAGCAAGCACTATGGTTCTTGATGGTTTTATTTGAGCAAAGGCAGCAAATTATTGCTCAAGTAAAGAAGTTAAAATACCTGGTATAACATACTAGAATAAATTTGCAGATAATTCAAATCTTTAAAACACCAATCGCAATATGATTTAATTCTAGCCTAAAATGAAAGACACTTGCACCATAGTTTGAAGCAACCATAGGTCCATAACTAATGGATGACAGTAATTTCTAAAAAAATTAGATAAAAAAACAAAGAAAAAACTAATGGGTGGTGAAATAATACATGCAAATGTACATTTCAGTAGATGTAAATGCTTCTATGAGCAACACAAAACAAAAGACTAGGACATACCATTAATTCTTGCACCAGGTGGCCTGGAAATTTCCTTAGCTAATTTACAACAATTGTTAATATTGAGCATAAGTCATAACACCAATATACCAACCAATTTCGAAGAACTGCATGGCGATGCAGAAGAAGAGCTGATTGTGTTGTTTTTTTTTTAATTTTGTTATGATTCTTAAGAGGGGAGGGATCCAGTATAGGGGAAGAATTCATGGAAATAAAAAGGAGAACAAGATGAATAGACGAAAGAAAGGAGATACGAGGTAGGGAGATAGCCTGAGAGAACACTAGAATGGGTAATTAATACCTAGAGGAGAAGCCGAAAGGAAACCTTTCTTAGCATAAATACAAGCTCTGAGCACTCTTTATAGAAATAAGCCTTATTAAACAATCAAATTACAAATAAAAAAATATAAAAAGCTAAATCATTTTCAATAACGCACATTTAAACCACTAACAATTAACTCAAAAGACAAACAGGTACGATTGCATGATATTGAAAACAAAAACTTATGACTGAGAGTTTAGGTAGACTTGACTGCATCACTTATTTAGCTCTACAATCATTATTAGATAACAAAAAATGATTAATATTCTCATTAATGTATAACCCAAATGTTCAATGCAATGTTTTGCATTTTATATATTATAGTTTGCTGTAAAATTAAATTAATTATAGACATACCAAACTTTTTTATACGAATAATACAAATAGTTGAGATATTAAAAAATACTGCAAAAAAAAATGTTGAACAATGTTCATTTTCCTATTCTTAATGTCCAGTCTAGCAAGTACAAAAGTTAATAATCTTAGATTTCTACATATTACCAATACTAAAGATTGAGATTAACGGTCTTTTAATACTTGGAGCCTTCAAAGCTAAATGCTATTGCTTCGAAAAATTACGAAGAAAATTTGCATATTATACATGTACAATGCACGTAGTATGCACTTACTAGACAAATAATGCATCTACATATGGCCAGTTAAAACAAAAAACGTTCAATTTATTTAACCAAAACTAAAGAGGAAATTCTCATTTTTAAAACTTAAAAATTGCAAAGAAATTTTATAAATTGTAGTCCTAAATTTTATGAAAGTAACTTCTCTTTAAGTCTCACTTTGAGATATGGAAATCAAATTTGGATCTCATTTTTGCAAGGGATATAGTCATCAACCTCACTCTTCATACTTACTAGCTACAAAATCTAAATCAAGTATCATTTTCAGCTGTAATGTGGATCAATATTTTAATCCAACTCCTTTTGGTGTATCATAAAGATTTATATAGACTTAAACATACAAATATAACACATTTCTGCTATGTAGACAATCGTATTTCAAAAACCTACACACTTAACATATGCTGACATACTAGGGTTTTTCCACCGCTCAAATAATTTTAGCTATTTATTGAAGAAGTAAAACGATGTAACTAAAAAAAAATTCCATTAATGACAGAGTTGTTTTGCTAAGGAAAAAGTTAATAGATTTTGTTAAGGACCATCATCACTTATATGTGTGAGTGAAACAATCCCATACTACGCTTTAAAGCCAAAGTTCAGCCCTGAAAACATATAAGAAGCAACAACAAATCCAAGTAGTGGAAACTATTTTTCCTTGACTAGTATTGACTATATTTTAGGCTTATTAATAATAGGAAGCCAATTGCACCAACAATGTCTCAAGTCCCCTTAATTTTATTAGTCAATGGTGTCTATGCTAGCTAGATTTCATCAAAGTCACAAACTCCCATTCCTGAAAATTCAAGCCTCATTTGCACTGTATGCTAGGTCTCCATCACCCTTTGACGTTCATAGCAATAACAAGTCCATTATTAACTTTATCCACACTATCAACAATACCAAATAGTGATAAAAAACTTGCCCTTGCATGGCACGTTTCCTTACCGTGCGCCTCCCTGGCGATTCAGCTAAATCAAGCTAGGAAGTGCAAGGGAGGATTAATCAAGTCATCGTTACATACGTTTTACTACATATGTGTGAATTAAAGCACAACCACACATTTTTTTATTTTGTTATGAGAGAATAGGTCATATTTTAAATAAATGTAGTGCACCAAAAAAGCAGCAAAAATAAGATCCAAGAGGTACAAGGTATAAAACTGCAATAGCATAATTAAACGTGGTAACTACTTGTACATATTTCCAAAGCATCTTTATCCATAAAGGGTTAAAGCATGATATCACTTTTATTTCTACTCTTGTTCGCCCATCATGAACCAAGTCTATTTGTACATAGGCATTGTTGTCGGAATAAATGAACAAAGGTAAGAATAAGATGATGCAATATTTTTCCTAGGAAAAATGGGAACATTAAGGAATTTTTCTGAGCCTTCATTTACAGATAAGAAATTCATGTCAAAGATAAGCAAGTTATATTCAAATTATCGTAAGTTACAAACATCATAAATTTTAAGTTATTAATGCTGTTTTCACCTGCATTTCACTATAAAATAGTGATGATGTTTATGGCATTATATATAACGGTGAGCAGTTTATAAGATGGAAAAGAGCATCACCTAAAGGAATTATATCATAAGGGTTGTCTCCTTCAGGCAAAAAACCATAGAACATAACCAAGTGAGATCCAGGGAGGCTTCCATAGCTTAGATAACATTGCTCTCCTCTTTTGCATTGTCTTGCAAGTTGAAATTTTAAGCATTTGGTTTCTGAGTCAACTCTACCGTAGTGTATTATATGGGGGAACAGCTGCAGAGTTAGGAACATAAGAATAAATAAGCCGAGGCTAGAAATACTTTTTAAAATGAAAGGGATTTATACGCTAGTTTGAAAGTACTGATTGCAAACCGAATGGTTAAGTAGCCCAGCAATAGGAACCAAGCAGGTCCTCAGCTTTCCATCACTGAAAATAACTTTCATGCTATTAGAATACCAGAGTTCACAAGCCCATAGATAGCGATCCCAAGAGTATAACTCAGTTTTGAAGATATCAGGGTAGCTAGCACATAATGCTGGACAAAGTGACTCGTATTGTTGTCGTAAGTGCTGAAATTACAGAATATATCTGTTTGAATCTCATGTAGTCAAGGAAACTTTATGCACATAAAAGAAAATCATGGGGATGTAGTGAAGGACAGAACATGGGAGGTGTGGAGAGTTTTAGCGTAGAATATACCTCTTTAGCTTGCATCAATTCTTCAAAAAAAAGAGTTCCATGTAGTATAGTAAGAGCATCAATTCCAAAACTTAAGCCTATAAAAAACAAAAAAAGCTTGAGGATTTTAATTCAACTATTCAGTCTGAGGCAGTCCACATATGGAATAGGAGCAGAGGAGGTTTGAATATATTATGAAAATGGTTCTTGAAGATCATCAAGATCTTTGAGCAAAAATTGAAAAGTGCATCAAACCACAATTCACTTTAATATGTTTCCTTAAAATAATACATATGGAAATCCGCCAAAATAAATGAGGATAAATAAATTAAGAATTATCAAAGATTCTTATAGCTAGAAGCCTAACTGAACCTGTATTGAAAGAGTCTGGCAATGTTTCAAAGTATTTCTTGAAAATTGAAAGGGGATTGTATCGTTCCCTCATGCTCCACAATAACAGCATCGTCTCAGTAGTCATACCATCCCAGTCCTTCAGAAATTCAAACTGCAAATGCATAAAAGGATTTGAAGAGATTTTAAATAAAAATGCCTTGCAGAATAGTTTAAATGGAAGATAGAACTTGATGATTTAATGAAACAAAACCAATGAACCTAAGGCAATCAACATGGCATAAGAAAAAAAGATAGCAATTTTTTTATTATAAATGAAGTTTTGCTGACTGCCAGTTAAAAGAATTTTAACTATTATCTTAACAGAAGCAACCATAGGAGATTTCGTGAAAGATAGAACGAACAAAAAATTCAAACAATAAATGGAACTATAACCCCAAACAGAAGAAACTATACAAGTATAAAAATAAAAGCTAAAATTATATCAATTTGAAGTGAGAAATAACTTGAGTGATACAAGGCCACAAACCAAAATGGGACTCTTAACACAAAAAACCGAAAAACGGAATAGACAATCTACAAGACAAAAGAGCAAAATCCCAACGAAAGACATTGAAAATTTAAAATCTTCAATGATCAGAGAGAAGTTAAACAAATGCAGGATAAGCAGAGGTGGTGTAGATACCAAACAGTGATGCAGCTAATGCCAATATGCAGCAAAATCTGTAATTTGAGGCCTCTTGAGGAATTTGGAAATATATTAATTCAACTCTTAACTTATGAAAAAAGGTAAAGGGGGAAAAAAGACAAACTAGGAAATTTATTGTTGTTTCAAAAAGTTTCATAAATCTAAGTTACATCATCTTATTATCTATGTATTGTTCATTTCCATTGTTGTACTGTTTCAATAAGATGCAATGATACCATCCATACTGGGGCATATTATTATTGCCAACTCATTATTCTCACTACTTGGGTAGAAAACATGAGAGGAATGAACAGTGAAGGAATCTAATACAAGCCTGCATCATGCGCAAGATAATGTGGAATAAAGAATAAGAACTAAATAAAAGTTAATAGGAGTTAGTGCACCATATCAGATTCATGAAGAAGATCCTCAGATATGATGATTGATTCTGGAATTTCCAGCGCACTTTCACCAACATTAATGTCCTCTACTGCCACTACTCCTCTATTAGCTCCCTCAAAATCTATATTATGTTGTAGAGAAAATAAAGCAAATTGATATGTCAGATGCTACGCAACACTATCAATATACAATAAACAGGACACAAGTTCTTTGGCATGTCACACAAACCAAACCAAGCAATCTATCACCAGTCCAAAATGCATATAATAGGCATCACCATAACAAACCGGAAAGAAGTTTTCATGTAAAAATTTCCTAATGATCCAAATAATCATTAGTAAGAGAACAATTGTATTTTAAGCAAAATATTTCCAAATATTTTTAAGATTAGGATATTTGGGGAGAGTTTGGAAGAGTTTTAGAATTTTGGCTAGTAGCATTGCGGCATTGGAAGTGGAAGCGTTCCTATGTTCCAACGGATTAGTGGTTTTTAAAATAATAAATATATAAAGTCACTAGCCAAACTCTCATTCACCCCAGCTTGCCGGAGAAGGAAGAGGAGAGGAAGGAGAAGGAAAAAATCTAAGTTTTGAGGCCCGTAATCAGATTTTCGTATGTGTGGCCAATTAGAGAAATTGTCGGGCTCGAGGTAAGTAACCAGAACCTCATTTTTGTTTTCAATTCAGATAAGTATATTGAAAGTTATGCTTTTAAAAGTATTTTTCTTGAGTTTTAAAAAGGTTTCACGATGTAACGTTTTATATGTCGCTTTATTCTTCGTTCTGAACGATTTGACTATAAGAATGCAAGTTTTCACTAGTTGCTTCTTCCGTATCATTTTTTTATGATTTTAGAAAAATGGTGGCTCTTCTGATTGGCAGTACAATTATGGAAGTGTGCTATTTTAATGTTTTATATGAGCTCTGTAAATTTGATAAAATTTTGGATACTCTATATTGGCAACTGAAAAAGTGGGGATTTTCCTATACAAGAAAAAAGGTCATGATATGATATTTAGTCTTTACAGATATTGTATTAAAACTCATAATTTCATTCTACGATCATTGCATGCATGGAGCTCTGTATTGGAAAAGAAATTGGGCCCAAAAGTGAAAGCATTCGGTATTGGCAATCTTCTATATTGAAAATATTATGTATCATAAGTTCTTTATATTGAAAGTTAATCCGTTTTGGTTTCTTTCTGCTCTGCACCTATCCTGAAGAGGTGTGAGGTGGCTCTACTCAGCACCTGGGTAACCGGGTGGGAGGTGGAAAATTGAGAGCTATAAGGGGCATTAAAGCATTCACATTCTACATTCATACGTGTATGTTCAGTTAAATAATGTTTTAAGTTTATTTAGTTTAAAGGTTCTTTGTCAGTCTTTTTATAATGATGAATTGAATGTTGTGATGAGAACTGGGTCTAGCCTACTGAGTTGTGAACTCATTCCATTGCTTTTACTATTCTAGGCAAAGGAAAAGAATCTATTGAGTATATCCAGTTCGATAGGAAACAGGGTTGCCAAATTGTCAGGTATTTATGCTTTGGAGTTTCAGAATAATATGTTTTGTTGATTATATTTCAAAATTGGATTCTTGTATATGTTTATTTTGGAGAATGAATTTTTATCTTGCACACTCTGAATGTTTCTTCTGTATATTCATATTATTGTGATTAGTGGATCTGGTGAATATGCAAATACGAGAAGATTAGCTTAGTAAGTTTAAGGAATTAGAATTAAATTCCTCTCTAGATATTGGGGCGTCACATCGACATACCAAAATTGCTTTAAGAATAATGTATGTATTGTCCAACGCATTGTACAGTGAAGAGATATAAAATTTTCATGAAAATACACAATCATTGCTCATTTCACAAATCAAACACAATCCATGTGTCTGAAATGCAAGAGCTACTTAAGGTAAACATCTATATTGCCCTATCTACTGCTTGAAAATGAAACATAAAATTTGCATGTGTAAGATGACGACAAGAACTTTGAGATGCGTGAGAGATAAGGAAATGCAAGAGAAGTCAATTCATATATTTATTTTATTCTTCTGCTTTCTTATCTATTCAATCAATTTAATATTTAATTAAAAAGAAAATTATAAATTAAATTAATCAAATACTCCTATGCACAACTCGTAAATCCTAATGTTTGCCATAAATTTGACCTGTGGCGCCGTCCCATTGTTGCGTGAAGTGCCCTCTGGCCCTTCTTAAAAACAAATATATATATATATATATATATATATATATTCAAAAAATC